CTTCTCTCTAAGCTGGTCTCCCACACTTCACCTTGAGCCAGTCCCCAGGAACACTGTGCAATTTATTATCACAACAGTCCCTTTGCACAAGCAGGTGCTTCACTTTAATAACTGTCCACTGGTTCCTTATGTTAATGCCTCCATATTCTTCAGAGAATGTTTTCAAGCAATACCTCTGAGAGTAATTTTAACTTTTATTATGTATTCTTTAAACAGCAAACACAATCTCTACACTAGGCCCCAGAGACAGACTGGAAAACATCCCATTTAATTAAAATACCTTCTTCTCATAGCACCTGGAGCACTTCTATGTCTACTTATTATAAGAATGCAATTATCCTTTCCTGTTTGAAAGCCTTAATTTTAAAATGAAACTCTCCTTATTATGCATCAACTATGTGACTCTAGTGTTAAGCATGCACTATGATAACCATTGTTTAGGAGTTTGAGTGGATAAATGATGACGAAAGAAGACTTTTCAACCTGAATATCTTAAATTCAATTGAAGTAACTGAGGAATAAATGGATTTAAAAGCATAGAAAAGGTAGTCCAGCAGATCTGGTTAAGAACGAGGAATCATATGCAGAAGTTTTCTCCCTAGAGTCTCCATTTGGCAACTTTGTGAACTTGGCAAAATGACTTGACTTCTCTGTTCTTAGGATTTCTCATCAGAGTCCTGTAGTTGTTTTGAACATCAGTTGATGTATTCCAGGTGACAGGTCTAGCACAGCGTCAGACATACACTCACAGCCAAATAAGTGTTGGTGGTGGCTATTTTTATTAGGTTGCAATTTCAGCATGAGAAACTTGCAATGAGAGCAGCAGCTCATCAGATGATTTTCAGAAAGAATCTGTCGGAGCAAAAATGATCATGGCAAGTTGTCCAAGGTGTTCAAAACATGGCCAGTGGAAAGCAGAGTGTTTTGCCAACTTTTGCCAAGTAATCTGACACACTGTACTCATTAAATGTCTCTTGAATACAACAATCCATTCCAGATGATGTTGAGAACAATTCACAAATAGGTTACATATGTGATCAAGATTATATATTTACTTCCATTTTGAGGAACAACATACATTTCTGTCCTCACTTTCCCACTGATGATCTTGCTTTTCACTTAATTTTTTAATGTCCAGCTGATTTTGTCTTTTAAATTCCTACCAAACAATTATTTCAATGTTCTCTCTTACTGTATGGTTAGTTCTAAGTAGTGCATTTTTAAAAAAAAACTTTGATATTTCCCCTCAGCAACAGCTCTGCCAGAATTTTCTCTAAGATACACTTGATGTAATACATTTGTAACCTAATAAAAAGTAGAAAAAGGAGCTGTTATTAAAATCCAGGTCTTCTGATTCATCAGTCATGGAATTAAAATATGTACTGTATAGGCACTGTGCTAAGCTCCCTATATACAATGGTGAACAAAAATGGTCCTTGAATTACTTGAGCTTAGATTCAATGGTAGAGTGAGACATCAAACAGCAAGTGAACAAATAAATTCAAACTTTGCTAAGTGCCAGGAAGACTTCAAAACTTTCTAGCATAAACACTGACTTAAGTCTAACAAAGACATTTCCACAACAGAAGTATCAAAGTTTTAAAACACTAAATAACTGACTATTCCTTATTCATAGAGAAGTTTTATGAAAGAGCCAATGACACTTGTAACCGGATCGAGGATGCTTTCTCTGAGTAAAAGTTTCTCCTTTTAAAATTTGTTCTTCTTAAGTACAAGTAGGTGTGCCTAATATAAATATAATTTATTCATAAATAAAGAGAGAGAATCAAGAGAAAAAATTAGCCTTCTTTTTAAAATCCCAATTCTTCAATGAAGTGTTTTGCAAACATAGTGCCAAACTGGATTACAGTGATGGTATGGATTTTTAACAACATACAGTTTGTAAGGAATGAGATCCATATTCTTTCTTAACTATTTTATCATCATTCCTTTGTGATGAGTGAAAACTCATTTTTAAAGAATGGGTTATCTTGTATAACATTTGAAAATATTTGCTGGTTACAAAAATTCAAGCAAAGGACATTGTAAGATAAATTTTGGAAGCTCTATACCACAATTATAACTGACTGAGATCTCTTACCCATTTCTTGTTCTGGGGATCAAAATAACATTCCCAGGTAAATACCTGACATCAGGTAATATGAATTCCAATGACAGTTCCTTGATTTTTTTCTACAAGATTATAAATGACCTATTTAAAGTGATCCTTATAAAAATGTGTGCTCTGTTTCTTAGCAGTAAGGGACAATACTAGGAACTTTTAAAGCCTAATAATTGGTTAGTCTATCTAAAATAACCCACTTATTTTCTGGACCATAAATATTGAGTAATCAGAGATGAACCCGAATAAAAGCTTTCCAGTTGGGATGATGCACAGATATATACTTAACTATATTTTTTTGTAATTAGTCTATTTTTTAAAAATGTTATCCTAGAAAGTAATATAATCTCTCTTTGTAAGCTATTTTCTTGGTTTTTGTCAATGTCAAATTTGTTTTTGACATGATGGATTTTTAAAGGCAAAAAATAACCAATAAAGCCAATGGAACCAAATATTAAAAATCAGTGATTCTGAGTAAAGGATATATAAACATTGCCTATACTATTCATGAACGATTTTTTGTTGCTTTTGATTTTTTTTAAATAAAAATTTGAGGTGGGGCGATCTTGTCCTTACTGGACTTCATGAACAGTACACAGAGACTTTTGTGAAAGAAATTCCAACAATTAGTAGTTTTCAAAGAGATAATATGTCTCTGAAGTACAAGTAGTGATGATTTCACCCAACAACTAGAAAAGCAAACCCATGAAACAACTAATAACACCAGTGAAAACTCATTATGAGCATTCACAGAAGGTCCCCTGGGGAAAGCAACAGGTTCAAGAGCCCTCATCATGCTCCATAGATATTCAGGGACCCAACATCCTGTGTGCAGGAGCTTTGTTTTGTTTCCAGCAGGATACATTGAAAGCTCTTCATTGTGTGGACTCCAAGAAGTAAACTGATGGAGAGAAAACTCCCCAGTGTGCTCCAAAGCAACCTTTCTGAGGATTCACTCAGTTTAAAAGGTGGGAGCCATGGCAAAGTATGCACCTGTCATCTGTCATCTACACAGTGGGTTTACCACTCCCAAAACACCTCCTTTTCTTTTTACTATTATTTATACCCCATCCTTGTCACTAAAGGTCATTTATTGATTCATATATTCAACCCATGATTTTGACTCTTCGCTTATGTATAAGTCACCAAGTAGGCTTTGCTCCCTAAAGTTAGGAAGATATAGCTTATGGCCCTGTGTTCTCAGACAGCCTTAGACAGAAAGTGCAGAGATTCTCAGCCCTGACTATACATTAAAATCAAATAGGAAACTTCATAAAAACATGAATGCGTAGGTACTACCTAAATCACATTCTGATTTAGTAGATATGGGGTGAGATATCTGTATTCTTAGAAAGCTCCTTAGGTACATCTGGTGAGCAGCTAGTGATAAGACCCACTGAAACAGGTGTAAGCAGATTCAATTCAGTTTCTTTATTCAGTTCAATTCCTTTATTGGCACAAATACTACTTGAGCCTAATGTCACCCATTCTTTACAACTCCAAGATTTAGATAGTTTGGCGATAGGTGAAATCAAGATAAAATGAGGTCATTAGTATGGACCCTAATTAAATATGACTGGTGTCTATAAAAAAGGGAAATTTGAACGCAGATACACATAAAAGGAAGACAATGTGAAGAGACACAGGGAGAAGATGGCCATTTACAAATCAAGGAGAGAGGCCTAGAATGGATTATTCCTCACAGCCCTTGGAAAGCATCAACCCTACCAATAACTTGATATTGGACTTCCAGCCTCCAGAACTATGGGACAACAAATTTCTGTTGTTTGAGCCACCCAATATGTGGTACAATTACATCAGCCCCCCCAAAACAAATACACTATTCTTTTATGTCATAATATTTATTATAATTTACAATTGCATATGCATTCGTTTGTTTAATGTTTCCCTCTTTCACCATATGAAAATCTTCAAAATGGTAGGAACTGTATCTGTTTTTATAAATTTATTTACCATTATCACCAAGTATTGCCCTATGCTACACTGAGAGGCCAAGAACTCACCAAAAGTAGAAAGGAAACTATAATGTTAAGAACCAATACCGAACAGTCTAGAACAGGTATAGGCAAACTGTGGACCTCAATTTTATCAGGCCTACATTCTGTTTTCATACAACATGTCATCTAAGAATGGTTTTCACATTTTTAAATGGTTATTTGAAAAAGAGAAATATTTCATGACATGAGAGCAAAATGTTAAATTCAAGTTTGAAGGTTTATAAATAAAGTTTCATTGCAACACAGTCACATTTATTTACATATTGTCTACAGACATATTTTTGCTACAAAGGAGTGTTCTGTAGTTGTCACGGAGACCACACCGCCTAAAATATTTATTATCTGGCCATGTACAGAAAAAGAAGTCTGCTGAACACTGGTCTAGAACATCCTTTACAAGCTTTGTGGATCACCCAAGGATGAATACCTGGTAGGGGACGTAGTGTTACAGGCACATATCTCAGCATATTTATTATACTCAGCACATTTACTACATTATTATGATAAAAAACTCACCAGCACATTCACTTTTTCTCAACCCAAAGCTCATAACAGGCTACTGAGTACTCTTCTCCCTAAGGAAGCATAGCTCTAGTTTTATTAATAAGATTCAGGTATGAAAGGGATTTGTGAATTAAAATTTTTCAATTTACCCAGAATTTTTATTGAATGTAGGTGTTTGATAAATGAAAGAATTTAAACATAAATGTAATAGGTGATGTCCATTACAGCTACTTAATTTGCATTTGTCTAACCAAAATTAACAGTATACTTATCACAGAAAACAATTCATAGATATGGGTCTACATAGTCAGTATAGGTCGGCTTAGATAACATTCATACAAAGAAGCATTATTTACCTTCGATGGAGGAACAAATTGAACACATTCTAGCCATATGGTTAAAAAGAATTTTCCACATATTGCACAGTTTTTTCCCTCAGAGATTATGTTCCTAACCTCTGGATACTGTTCTACGGCATGCATTAGAAAAGGATTCTTTGCAGCTAGCTGATTCATAACAAATCTTGATGTTATTTCCTAAATTAAAAAAGAAGAATGTTGTTCCTAAAATTATTTTCAAAAATCGTACATTACATTGATTTCCATTTTACTAATATAAATTTTTGTCTTCTTCCTTACACTGTTAAACTAAGATTCTGGTATATAATACATACATATAAAATTTTTCATTAACATAAGAAAGTAAGTGACTTACATTGTAACACATTTAAGTTTCTTGGATATAAGAATTCAAGTCATAATAAATTTGCATTACCTATTTTATAAAATTAGATATAGTTTAGGTTCAAATTTGGTATATTTCTTTACAATAAACTAAGACTTTACATTCAAATTAGACTCAAAAAATTAACACTGCCATATTCACTAAGATCTAAATCCAATATATTTAAACTGGCTCACAAACCAGTAGAATCTGGATTGTCTGAGAAGCTTATCAGAAATGCAGGATACCAGAGGTACCCCACTACTGAATTAAAATTTCAATGAGGGTCTCAAGTAATCTATCTGTATGCACAGATAGTTTGAGAATGGCTAGTCTAAATTATTAGCCGCCTTTTGTACCTGATTAACTCGACCTTGTTTTGTTTTGTTTTTAAACTTTGATTGTATTTATTTATTTTTTTAATCTTTTTTTTTTTTTCTTTTGGTACCGGGCATCGAACTCGGGTCTTTGCGCTTGCGCAGCAGGCGGCGAAACCACTGAGCTAAATCCCCGGGCCCCCTAACTCAACCTTGTTGAAGAACAATAAATTCAACCTGTGTTAGACCTAGTCACATCAATGTTCAGAAAATTGACTTTGTGCAATAATAATATTATAAATGCTAAGTAATAAAAAGGGTATTGAGGAAAAGGAAGTGCCTTTTACCAGGACCATCGTTTTAAAGTTAAAAATTTGTGTGTGTGTGTGTGTGTGTGTGTGTGTGTGTGTGTGTGTGTGTGTATTGTCTTTACTGACCAAGCAAAGAAAACAAACGTTTGTCTTACTCTAAATGCCCCTCATTGTTGATGCTAGCAGAGTGGAAATCCTGTGTAAATGTTGCACAAACACTGCCTGAAATTTTAATAGTGTATGGGCTTAGTTTATTTTTATTTCCTGGCCAAAATAAAAAATTTATTTCTCAGTAGTATTAGAATAATTCACATCAGGCTCTGATCAGAATTTTGGGGAATGCATACATGTAGACAGACAGACAGACATAATCTTTCACTTATTCATTCCAATTAAAATCTTTTTTTCAAAATTCAAATAACAACAAAATTCTATAAATTGCCATATCCTTGTTCCCTACTTCCCTATCTTTTCCAGGTAACAAGAGTATGGGAAAGCTGCCTTCATACAACAACCCTGGGTATGGTTTCCTTAAATGTCTGGTCCTTCAACAAAACAAACTCGTGATCACTTAAGCACTTTCTTCTAGATGGTTATCTGACAGGGGTCAATGGGACAGATACATCTGAAAGCACTAATGCAACCCGCACTGCTAGATCAGTTGTTTATTGCCACCCTTTCTCTCGCTGCTTTAGTAGAGTATAACTTGTGATCCTAAACAAAATATTCATTTTACAGGTAAATGATTAGCTACATGAATTCAGTGGCTAATCTCATTACAAAGCTGCAGAAAACTCAGACAAGGATTCACTCTCCTCAATAGAAGGTAGAAGAATTTGCTGAAATATATAAGATCTATAAATAAATTTAAACAATTACTTTTTCCATTTATGATTCCCCTACCCAAATATGTTTGTGGCACGCAGTATATCTCTTGACAACTATGATCAGTCATTATTTATATTTTTCTACCTCCTGATAATGTGTTACTTTGGGAGAATAATGCATACCATTAAAATACAAAATAAATTTATTACTTGGAAAAGTATCAATAAAGTAGATAATAATAAGCTGACCAATAATATATTTTAGGACCCCTCTTATAGATATAGTCGATGCAGTTTTTGAAAATATACAATTTAATGATGCCATATATACAACACGTATAAAATTAACTCTTGTGCTCCCAGGCCTTACAGTTTCAAATATCACATTCAACAACTCCCCAAAAGAAATGTAAACATTATGTACTGCAAACATGTACTAATAAAAAATAATAAATTTTAAAAAGTGCTGGGGACGTAGCTCATTGTGAAGCCCTAAGTTCATTCCCCACTATTGAAGAAAAATCACAAGACAGAAATATTGGTCTGTCACTGTAAGCATTACCAATATTCTTGCCCTTGAGGGCGCTCTGAAAGACAGACATCACCTTGAGTTAACTGCTCATCCAGCCTCCTCCACATACCGAATATCCTCCAACCCAGGCTTATCCTGTCTCCATTTCCCTTTCCTCCCTTGCAATATTGCAGTGTGGAGTTAAAGCCCAACTGCTTAAGTTGGTGTCACTGTCCCAACACTACCTCTGTGACCTTAAACAAGTTATTTAACCTTTCTGGGACTGTTTCCATATCTATTTTTAAAAGAGGCAGTAATGGAACCCACGTCTTTAGGGTTATTGAAGGACTTCATTAATTGTTGTTAAGCATAAATAATAGTGCCTTCACATGTGTAAATACCGAATAATTTCTCTGGTGTAAGAAACTGAAAGTGTGAATAAGGATTAAAATGAATAATTGATAATGTGAAATAGGAAGAAAAGGTCCAAAGGGGTAGGGGAAGTGAGAGGGGTAGGGGAAAGGAAAGAAGGGAAAGGAAAACTAATGAGAAAAGAAAAAAATGGAAACAAAGTCTTTGTAAATAGGGGAGGGTGGAGGGGGTGAAGGGAGGGCAGGGAATAGGGAAAAAATAAGAACCAAGATACATCATGTAAAGGTACAAGTTCCAATGATAAATGTAAATGTTTTGTATACCTAAAATGTACCAATAAAAGAATTTAAGGAAAAACTAAAAATAAATAATAGTGCCTTGTTCACAGTAAGCTTAAAATAGGAGTTATCATCTTTATTCTGAAATTCTTGATGCAAAAGAAAAATTGGTTCTGAAGGATTAAACATTGCAATTTTTTTAATGATTTGCTGTTGAAATTCAAAAGAGTATTTTTTCTATATAAGAGTAGGAAGTAATGATGTTTGGGGAAATAGTGATGTTTGTGAGAACATTCTCTGAAAAGAAGTTTGGAAAGAGCGCATCTGTGAAAGAAGCCAGCTCTTTGGCTTACTAATTTCATCCATATGGATCATATGGACATAAGCTAGAAATAAACTGAGAATGGTCCTGATATTCTTGTTTATAAGGGCCCAAAAAGAAAAAAAAAAGATATATATAACCTAAGCATTTAACAGTGGGGAAGTACTTAGAAATATGACCTAACAGAATACTATTAACCCATCAAAATATATCTTAATATACACTGATATAAAAGATGTCTTAGTTTTCTTTTTCTGGTTGAAAAGAAATTCACATTTTGAGTGAAGAAACAAATATTTAAAGAGTATGTAGAGTTTAAATTCATCTTTAATTTAAAATATATTCTGTATGCACAGGAAATTTAGAAGAAGAAATATTAGAAAAGAGTAGTTACATATAGCTCTGTGTACTAGGTTCCTGGGAATTAACTTCCATTAGTTTTTTTCTAATTTCACTAAATGAGTTTGTTTTACTTTCAATGTAAGAACTATTTTCTAAATCAGTATATTTTAACTAATTTTTATTTTCTTCATTGTTTGTTTGTATTTTCCAGGTTTAGTTATAAACATGTATTTCTTATACAATGAGTGGAAGGAGCATTTTAAAATAAATTAAGCCAATGGCTTAATTGTTGGTTTTTTCCTACAGCCGGGAAATTTGAACCCTATGAAATTCCTGAAAGTCTAACAATTTTACATGTTCAGCTCTAGACCTAAATAGATCTGGAAAATTCAAAGTTGTGAGGGAGAATAATACTCAAATATGGGAGGATCTAACTGATCCATTGTGAAAGGAATCTTCTAATACGCTCTCTTGTTCTTTATACTCTCATCAATTTGTTTTAAGTTCTGGATCATATTCATTCATTCACTAGGGATATAGACAAGTTAAAGGAGGGTAGAAGAGATAAAGACCCTACTAAGAATAAGTCAAATGCTTCTTAGTTAATATTGAGAAAAATACTTAGAAGGCCAAAGTGAAAATAAATCCCTCTTTTTTCTTTTCATCTAATAGACTATCACCATTTCTGTATTTAGTCACACTGAAAATCAAATAATATTACACTGGATTCCATAAGCAAGTAAAAAAAAGAACACTTATACATATGATACATATTGCCAATGAATTTGGGTTACATTAATCATTTGCTGGCCTGGCCAGAATGCTTTAAAAAAAACTCTACAATTTAAGCCATACCCTTAGTTTGAATATTTAATTATTCAATTGAATACTTAAAGGTTCAATGAGCTAAACCTTTACCTTTAGACTCCAAATGTCCTCCTGTTGTTTAGCTGCAAATGGCTGCTTCAGGAAGAGTGGATTTCCTCACAGTAGAATTCCCTCGGCTTCAGATCCTGAAACTTTTAAAACAAAATAATACCTTTGTTGTAAAACAAAACAACAAACCAAAGCTCTAAAACTATACCTTCAATACAATTAGAATAAAATTACTTTGCTTGAGGCTTAGCACTCTGTATTAATATTTTAAGAGTGGGACACACTCTAGCCTTTAGAAGCATAAGAATCATAATACTAGGGACCAGGGTTTTAGCTCAGTGGTTCCAGCACCTGCCTTGCAAGCGCAAGATCCCAAGTTCAATCCCCGGCACCAAAAAAAAAAAAGAATCGTAATACTGGCATAAAGGTTCATGATTTTAAATGTCACATCCTCTGCACTAAACAACTAAGAAAACTGATTTATGGTCATAGAATTGGTCCATAATAGAACAATGTATAATAAATAAAGTAATATAAGCATTTTGTTTTGTATTTGCTAGAAAAATCTGAGCATGATGAAAAATACTCCAAAACACCACCTTCCAAACCACAAAGGTTGCTTATTATTCATATATATTCAATGAGAAAAGCAAGAGAAACACAGGAACATCAAATGCTCTTATTATAATGTGTTGTACACAATGAAAATAAAAGGATAAGGAAGCTGGGTATGAAGGAGGAGAAGTGGAGAATGTACACATCACAATAGTCTTCTACGAACAAAATCTAAATCCTCATAGAACCTATCACTTCAGTAGAAAATGAAAATATTTCTTTATATTAATATTATGCCTCATTTCCAAGAACTATGTGGCTTTTAAAGTTAAACTAATTTAGGGAACTATTTCTGTGAGTCTAGATAGCAGCTATAAAATAGGGACATTGAGAAGCTATTTTCAGTAGTATGGTGGTAAACTAGTTCCCTGAAAGAGGGGAGAGAGAGGGAGAAGAGGTGGGGAGAGGAAAGAAGAAAAAGAAAGAAAGAGAGGATGGAAGGAAGGGAGGGAGGGAGGAAGGGAGGGAGGGAGGGAGGGAGGGAGGAACATGCCCTGGGGGGATGGTGTGTTGATTCCATGACATGTTTGCTATGAGGAGTTAATTCAAGTCATTGAACACAGGTCAGAAAGACATTTGTAAAATCTACTCTTTGAGCCAACATGAGCTGGCTCTATCACTCTACATATCACAAAATTTATGGGAGAATTAGAGATTTCTGTGCTTTCAACCCAAGATTTGAAAGCTAGCAAGCACATACAATTTAAAAATAATTCGTTTAAAATATCTTTCTGGGGGATCATGTCATTAGATTTCAAAAATTACAGGAAAGCTAATACAACACAAACAAGATTGGCATCTGATTTTTGTGGTTTGCAAGGGGAAGAGGTTATGATTTCAAAACCTAAAACCCAGACTAGCGTTCATTAATATGCATAAGTAACAGGAAGGTCTTCTCATATGTGCATGAGACACATATCTTAGCCAAGGAAAATTACTCAAGACACACGGCAGCTGAAAGACAGTAACAAAATACAAGAATTTAAAGGATGGATTATTTTTGCCTGTCAAAAAAGCAAAGATTAAAAATTAGAATATCCACTGTTCCATTGCAAAACGAAATTAGGAAATCTCTTTAAAAACAAATTGACAAGGTCATTAAAAAACCTGAAAGCTATCCCTAACTCTGAGTTATTATTCTAGGACTTAACCCAAAAGAAATTTTTTGGGGTTTTTTTTGGTTTGGTTTTTTGAGACAGGGCCTTGCTATATAGCACAGTGCCCTTGACCTCACTATGTAGCCTGGGATGGCCTCAAATTCAAGGCCAATCTCCTGCCTCAGCGTCCCAAGTGCTGGGATTGCAAGAATGTGCCAGTACACCAGGCAAAAGAAATGCTTGAAGTGAGAACAAATATTTAGGAATAAAATGTATCTCTCAGAGTTATTTTTAAAATTTTTAAAGGCTTTTTCTATATTAATAAAATGTATGATAAATTGTGTTGCTTACCTGAATTTGCTGGCCCTCTGCTTATTTACTCCAAGTATATTCAAAATTTAGTCCTAAATCATCCCTGCCATCAACTTTCCCTTTCAGCACCTGACCAAACTAGTGGTGTTTGCTTAGTTGCCCCTCAGGGCAGACAAGATTCACTATCAATTCATCACCAACAACTTCCAGTTTGCCCTCAGGGGTCACTGACAATTCTGTTGTAGCCAATATACCCTCCTAAAAACATTTTCTTTACTGACTCACAATTCTTTACCCAACAATGAAATAGTTCTCCTTTCACATTCTCATTTCACTTCATCTTCTTTACCTGAAGGAATTTTATCCATATTGATGACTATCTCTGTGGTAGTGACTGGTACCACACCCTGTCACCAACTGTGTATTCAAAATCTGCACCTGGGTGCCTTATATACACATCCAGGTCACCTGGTCAAAGAGTCTTTTTCCAGTGTTTTCTATTTCAGCCCATGGAAAGCTTATTAATCCATTGCCATTTCCAAATTTGCCCCTAAAATATGTAATGGATCTGTTTTGGTCTTTGCACACATCCTGCCCCAAGCTTTGACCAAATTATTGGCTTCAGCAAAAGTCTATCAAAATTCCACCTCCTCCTGCCCTCTGGCCTCCATCTAATATATCTGTTACACTGCAGAGGGAAAGGCCTTTACAAAATACAAATCTAAAAGTCTCCTCATATCTGAAACCCTTTGAGATTTTTACTGTCTTTATAATAAAGAGCAAATCCTTAGCATACCCTATATTCTTTGCCACAGCCCCTTCTACCTAATGTCTGAGTTCTAGGACACTGAATTCTCAATACGAACATCCATACCCCACCACCACCACCTTAGGGTCTTTCTACATATTGTTCATTCTCTCTGGAAGTCATCTTTCCCCTTCATCTAATCCATTATTACTCATTATTCAGATCTTGGTTTATGTCACCTCTTCCAGGAAGCCTTCCCTAACCTGTTTAGTCAGGCTTCTGGTGTCTCTTATAGATGCATGTCCTTCTCTTTTAGTGTACTAATTTTAGTTTCTGATTATCCATCATGATGTTAATTGTTTGGTTAATATCTATTTCACCAGTACACCGCAGCTTACAGAAAACAAGACTCCATGCTGGTTTCCTCACCATTATATCTCCAATTCCCAATGCAGAGCTTAGTATATAATGTAAAATGTATGGATTTAAGATGAGAGACTTTATAGTTGCCTTTTCTTGAATTCCAGCTCCTCAGTACTAGCTATGAGAGTTGAACCACATTATCAGGCCTCTTTAAGTAAAATAATAATAATAATTTTAGGTTCCTCATCTGATAAGTACAGAGGTTAAATGATATAATCAACATAAAGTACATAGTATGCCTATGATGAACAAGTAATATATTATCATAGCAGGTAGTCAATGAACAATTTTAATCATCAATGATTTAAACATATTGTCATAGTCACTTTTTCCACAATTTAAAGGAGGAGAGGTTTATTTGGGCTCACGTTTCAGTCCAGGTACAGCTGGTTCTAAAGAAGAAGCAGCATGGCAGAGAGGCCTAGTGGAGGACAGTCGCTCAGAGCATAGTGGACAGAAGGCAGAGAGCTCAGGGAGGAGCTGGGAAAGGAGATATAACCTTCCAGGACACACCCACAGGGACCCACCTCTTCCGACCAAGCCCCACCTCCTAACAGCAAGTCAGCTATAGTGCCCCTAAAATTCAATCACCTTCCGGAGATTGCATGAGGCTGTAGGGAGACCTCTAAATATAAACCATAACATTCTGCCCTGGCCCCCTGAAGACTCATATATATGTCTTTATGCAAGCTACATTTAGTCATTCTAGTTTCCAAAGCCGTAACAGTTTCAGCATTGCTGAAAAGTCCAAAATCAAAGTCTTCTCTGAGACTTAAACTCTTAGCTGTGAGCCCCTATAAATATCGAAAAAGGTAAACACTGCCAACATACAATGGCACAGGGTAAAGACTTCGATTGTAAAAGGGAGAAATAGGAGGACAGAAAGGAATGGGACCAAAACCCAGGAGGGCAAACATTAAATCCCGTAGTTTCAAGGCCAACACCTGAGGCAAGTTGTAGGAAAATGCAAACTCCAAATGGCTTGGGTGGCCCCACCGCTAGAGTGTTTTGATGGATGTGTGCCTCATAGTTTCTCTCTTAGGCCAGCTTTGCTCATTCCTGCTGGCTTCCCTCAGGCATTCCACATTCCTGTTTTTTCCAGCTTTCTGGATTCTCTGCAGCACTTTTGGCTTTGTTTTCATAACCTATGCACAACCCTTTCAGGGACACACTGAATGACTTCCTGGCCCTGCTTCTGAAATCTGGGTGAAAGCTTCCCTGACACCACAACCCTTACATTCTGTATGCCTGTAAAACCAGCACCATGTGGATGATACCAAGGTCTACCACCAGCTCAAACAGTAGCCAGGTCCCCTTGAATTGTGGCTGCAGAGGTCTCTAAGTACCTAAATGGCTGAGCACTGTAAATTGAAGTCTAGGGAACCAATTTCCTAGGCAGGCCTTTTTAAGCATGGCACACTGGGGCTCCCTTCTCAAAACAACTTTTTTGCAACCTTGAGCCATTGAAGGGAGGGTTCTTACTAATTCCTGGGATGCCCTCAAGCCATGTTTTCTCTTATCTTGTAGTAAAGAATTTGGCTTCACTTTAATGCTAATCTTTTCTACAACCAGGCTCTGTTTCATCTTTGCTGGTGCTTTCTTCCTGAAAAAACTGAAAGCTTTTTAAATGGGCTTTTTGCTCCTGGTTTTCAGCATAAACCTGGATAAAAGCAGCAAGCCATATTCATGCGACAGCCTGAATGCTAGGGTCCCTTGAAATTTCTTCCTTCAGATTAATTAGTCTATCACCCTTAATCAAAGCCTCCCAAAAAGTCTCAGGACAGGAACAAAGTGCAGATAAATTTTCTGCCAGAGCATAACACACATAGTCTGGAGTCTAACTGCCAATGAAGTGCTTGTTCCCAACTGAAATCTCCTGAGTCTGATCTTTTCCATCTGCCTTTATATCAGCATTCTGATCTTCTGAGCTCCAACCAGTATCTCTCAA